GCCTGGGGGTGTGGCGCCTGAGGGTACTGTGTCTGGAGGTGCTGAGCCTGCGCGTGCTGAGTCTGGAGGTGCTCTAGGTGTCCCGTCGCGGCGGGAGCCCCTCTCTCCACAGCGGCTTCGTGAGTGGTACTCTCGGTGCTGTCGGGTTGCTGCTGGAGGTGCTGCTGGTGCAGGAGCTGCTGGAGGTGCTGGCACTGCTGGAGGTGGTGCTGGTGCTGGAGCTGCTGGAGGTGCTGGAGCTGCTGGAGGTGGTGCTGGTGCTGGAGCTGCTGGAGGTACTGATGGTGGTGGAGGTGCTACTGGAGCTACTGGAGGTGCTGGCACTGCTGGAGGTGGTGCTGGTGCTGGAGCTGCTGGAGGTGCTGCTGGTGCTGGAGCTGCTGGAGGTGCTGGTGCTGCTGGAGGTGGTGCTGGTGCTGGAGCTGCTGGAGGTGCTGCTCGTGCTGGAGGTACTACTGGAGCTACTGGAGGTGCTGGCGCTGCTGGAGGTGGTGCTGGTGCTGGAGCTGCTGGAGGTGCTGCTGGTGCTGGAGCTGCTGGAGGTGCTGCTGGGACTGGAGACCCTGAGGCTGAGGGTACCGGTTCTGTCTCTACTGTTTCTGGAGGCGCTGTGCGGCCGCGGCCGTACTACGTTCCGCTTCTTCAGCAGGTTCTTGGCTCCCCGCCTTCTCCAGGTCCTCCTCCTCCTTCCTTGAGTCCACCGCCTGTCCCGTCTCAGTCGCAGTTACAGCCGGCCTCCCCGCTGCCTGGTCCTTCTCCTTACTCTGGTCCGACTAGAGGTCTTACGGAGCGTCGTGAGCCTGAGTCGCGTCCTGTGTCACCTGTGTCTCGTTCTACGTCGCCTGTCCGTTCTGTTCGCGCTGGTCGTGTTTCGCGTCCGCGTCTTCCTCCTATCCCAGGCACTCACACTATGACACTGCGTCCTTCTACTGCTCCACAGCGTGTCCCTCTGCCCTCTCCTCCTGCGTCCTCTCTTCCTGACGGTCCGGACCCGAAGTCTGACTCCCTTTGTGCTGCTAGTCCTACTGTTACGCGCTTCTGGCCACTGCTGACACTGACCCCCTGTTTGAGTTCTCTGCTGCGTCTGCTCTTGTTGCTGAGCTTGTTGACTTTGCTGCAGCCTGTCGCCTAGACTACGCCGCTAGTCTTGTTGCTGAGTCTGCGTCTGTGTCTGTCTGTCCTCCGTCCGTCGGGGGTGAGTGTGCTCTTGGCACGGACGTCCTTGAGGACAGGCAGGAGGACCTTGAGTGCTTTGCCGCTGCTTCACCTCATCTCGTGTCCATGATGCTTGCCCCTGAGAGAGACCCGGATGCACTAGACATCCCGACCCCGCGCTCTTACGCAGAGGCGATAGAGGGTCCCTACTCCTCTCAGTGGCAGGCAGCCATGGACGCAGAGATGGCTTCCTGGAAGTCCACAAGCACCTACATTGACGAGGTTCCCCCACCTGGGGCGAACATCGTTAGTGGCATGTGGATCTTCAGGGTGAAGCGGCCGCCGGGTTCTCCGCCTGCCTCAAGGCGCGTTACGTTGCACGTGGCTTCAGTCAGCGACAGGGAGTTGACTTCTTTCAGACCTTCTCCCCTACCCCGAAGATGACCACTCTTCGGGTACTGCTGCACGTTGCTGCTCAGCGTGACTACGAGCTCCACTCGCTTGACTTCAGCACAGCCTTCCTACAGGGCAGCCTGCACGAGGAGATCTGGCTGCGCCGCCCACCTGGCTTCACTGGGTCGTTTCCTGCTGGTACCCAGTGGAGCCTCCGGCGGCCAGTCTACGGTCTCCGCCAGGCGCCCCGTGAGTGGCACGACACGCTCAGGACGACTCTTGCTGCTCTTGGTTTTGCTCCTTCCACTGCTGACCCTTCTCTGTTTCTACGCACTGACGCTACTCTGCCGCTGTTCTACGTTCTTGTGTATGTAGACGACCTTGTCTTTGCTACTGCTGACACGGAGGCACTCGCCCACGTGAAGTCCGAGCTGCAGAAGAGACACACGTGCACAGACCTGGGTGAGCTCACAAGCTATCTTGGCTTGCGGATCACCCGGGACAGAGCACAACGCACCATTACCTTGACTCAGTCACACATGGTGCAGCAGGTCCTTCAGCGCTTCGGCTTCACCTACTCCTCGCCACAGTCCACTCCTCTGCCTACCGGTCACTCGCTCTCAGCTCCACCTTCGGACGAGTCCGTAGAGCCGAGTGGCCCGTATCCAGAGCTTGTGGGCTGCCTCATGTACCTGATGACTTGCACACGACCTGACCTCGCATACCCTCTCAGCCTTCTGGCTCGCTACGTGGCTCCTGGCAGGCACCGAAAGGTGCACTGGGATGCTGCGAAGAGGGTGTTGCGATACTTGTGCAGTACATCGGGCATGGGGCTCGTGCTTGGAGGACGGGCTCGAGTTGTCCTCACTGGTCACGCTGACGCCTCCTGGGTTGACGACTTGGCTACGCAGCGGTCGTCACAGGGTTACACCTTTAGCCTTGGCTCCGGTTCTGTCTCCTGGCGGTCTACCCGCTCTTCTTCTGTTCTCAGCTCCAGTTGTGAGGCTGAGATCTACGCTGGGGCCATGGCTGCACAGGAGCTTCGCTGGCTCACCTACCTGCTGACCGACTTGGGAGAGGCGCCTCGTTCTCCTCCAGTTCTGTACGTCGATAAAAAGGCCATGCTGGCCTTGAGTCAGGAGCACAGACTGGAGCACAGAACGAAGCACATTGCTCTGCGCTACTTCCTTGCTCGAGAGTTGCAGCAGCGTGGCCAGCTTCGTCTTGCTTACGTGGCCTCTCAGGCCAACACTGCTGATGTCTTCACCAAGGCACTTCAGCCTTGTGAACATCAGCATTTCTGTACTGTGTTAGGCCTTGTACCTACTGTGCCTCACTTGTTAACTTCTTAACTCTGCTTGTACTGTACTCTATATACTTATACCTGCATGCTTACACTTGCTAGGTTGTGTTCACTGTATTGTTTGCTTTCCTTTATATAACTCTGCATGTGAACTGGCCTTATGGCCCTTTGCTTTTGCTCAGACTGTGTGGTGACTTTGTGATCCACCCTGAGCTTGCTTTGTCTTTCTTGACTGGTCTTGTGACCCCTTGTTCTCCCCCACTTTGCCTATGGGGGTGTGTCAAACTTATATCTACTATAGTCTGTTTAGGCTGTAGTGGGGTAGTCCTTAGAGGGTACAACACTTTTGTGTTTTCTACTTGTACCCTTCTGCTTTCTAGTTCAATCATTCATTCCTATTATTCTCACAAGTTCAGTTATTGGCGCAAGCATGGGCGTGTCGGTGTGAGTTGGCGCAGCGGACGGGCCGTTGACTGACGGTGGAACGGTGCCACTCTCAATGGTAGTGGTCGGCTGGACCATCTTGCGGCTCCGCCACACTTGGTCCGCCATGTCGTACCACGCGGGGCAACCGAAAGGGGTACCCTCTCCTGACCTGCACCACACCGTGCTCCAGCGCAACCAAGATGCCTCTAAGCAACGCAGCTTGGGTCGCAAGGCGGACACGTTATGACGCCACCTCGGGTTGCGGGCGAGGAGGTTCTGGTGTAGCTTAAAAAACTGGTTTTGACCCTGTAAACCCCGCATGCCTGACCACTGTGACTGCATGTCGTACTGCTCTTGCATGAGAAGCATGTCCTCGTCTTTAGTCCAATGAGGCACAGTGGTCATCGGTCACGTGCGTGAAGTCCCGGTGGTACCGGCTGATTCGGTGTTAGTCCGCGCCAAGTTCGGATCTAGCTCCTCTTCTTCATTCTCCTCTTCCTCTTCCGGGGCTTCCTCGCCCACCCCGTAGTCGACATCAGCACTGTATGGGGCATCGTGTCGCGGTAGGTTGTTAACAGACAAGCTCAGCGGACACTGCCATGGGTTGACCGGGCGTCGTGAAGACTCGCCAGTAGTTCGAATGGGTGGTGGTTGCGGGTCGTTAATAGAAGCCTCTGTATCTGGCTGCAAGGCAGACGGGGCATGCAGGGTGCTGCTTTCAGGGAGGTTGTTGTCGTTGTCGGACTCCATCTGAAAGATATCTAGCTGAACTGGATGGAGATCTTGTGGGTTCCTATTTGGATTTTGTAGTACAAAAATATATGATGAAGCAATGTCGAGGAGAAAGTGGTGAGCCAGGCGTTCATGCAGATGGTCAACAAATTCCCGAGTTGTGTGCACGTTCTTGTGAAATTCATTTGAGCACCCGTTCCGTGACCTGCACGTTTGAGAAATGCAACTTCATGTTCACATATTCTGTCGCAGAGCGCTTTATGCAACGATGGGCACATGTAACGCACAGACAAGTCGGTTTCACGGCCGTTTGCAAGACGACTATGCGTCGTTATCGTGTCGGTTCGCCGAAACCGCCATCAAATATTCCGCGATTTCGCTAAATTAGCGAGCTTCGCCCAAAACACGGCGAGTGTCGTAAACGGGTTACTTTCACCAACATCAGCCCGACAGATTTTCCGAAAAATTGTTGTGGCACGACTTTACATGCCCTTATGGTATCTGCTACACGAGTGAGCAGTGATGCCGAATTAGAGCGAGACTTAACTGAGCCGTGCAACAGCGCTCCCCATTCATGGCGACAGACACGCAGCGACGGCCGAGCTCCATCTCTCGCCTAGTCGTGCCGCCGCCGCTAGACCTCCCGGCTTTCTCCCACCAGCCACTCCCGCAGCAATGCTCTCCTCGCTTTCGCGGGCTCGCACCCTCTCCCTCTGCGCGCGACACAAACACTCCGAGTCACGCAGCCTCCAACCGCCATGCCACGCCTCGCTCTCCACTCGCCTCTTGCCGGTCTGCTAGCGTGAATAACGGAGAGACCTCGTCCGCGGCGTCACCTTCCTCGCCTCGCCTTGCCTCCACGCCGGACTCCGCCGTGCTCGGTCGCTGTCGCGCGCGCCAAGGTCTCGCGTCCCCGAGTGGCGGTCAGGGTGGCGCGCGCACGGGGCATCTCTCCGCCCACGGCGACTCCCCCTCCTCGCGCTATAGAACCATGGTCGAGCCAAAGAGCTTTCCCGCCGCCACTTCGCCGCAACTGCCGGCGCCAGGCGCGTGGCTTCCTTCGTTGCAGAGATGCGGCGCTGCCGTTTCGCAACGCCCTGCTTCCCTGCACGCGCGTTCCCCGTTCTCTTCGCCGCGTGCCGCTTCCCCTCATTCCCCCTCCCCGTTCTCCTCCCCGCGTCACGCTTCTCCGCTTTCCTCTCCTAGTAACGCCAACCATTCCGGAGTGCGGCGCCTGCCGAGCGATCAACAGTCCACAAGGCTAGGCCCCTCGCCAGCAGAAGCAGCTTACGTGGACTGGCCGTCAACTGACGTGTCACCGTCGGGATTCTCACCCGCAGTGGCAGGCCCACCGTCCCTGTCGACAGCAGGAGCGGCTGTAGCGGGGCTGCGGTCACGAAGCCGGCTCGGTCCAGACAACGCCACAGGCAGCCGTCACTACGCCTCACCCCACCATGCACCTGCCGCTAGTCCCGGGGCCGTTACCGTGTTAGCCCCTAGCGCAAACCGCACGGCACTAAGAGGTCCCGCTGCGAGCACGCAGGAATGCGAGAATCCGCCGGATCCCGCGCGACCGCAGCCCAAGGCCACGTCGGGTAGCCCGCACGACGCGCACAGGCCGGTGTCCCCGAAAAACCAGTCGTTCCGCCGCTTTGCGCTTCCGCCAAAGCTGCTGTGCGGGTCCTTCTCCCCAGCCTCCCCTTCTGCCCGCAAACACTCCGGCGCGTTTCCGCATTCCGCATCTGCCCCTTTTTCTTGTCCCCCTTCCGCCTCCCCAGCATCTCCCGCCTCCCCCACGCCCTCCGCCTCCCCCCCCCCCTCCGCCTCGTGCTTCTCCTCCTCCTCAACCGCATCGCACTCGCGTTTCGCATCGCTGTTGCCAGCGTCGCCCCTGGGCGTGCTAAATTCGCCCACGCCGCATTCCCCGGCAAGCAGGAGCGCGTCGCCGCAGCCCAAGAGCCCGCTGGGGCGGACGACAGTCGCCGCAAGGACTTACACCAGCCCATGCGCTGCTAGTGCCGCCGGTGATAGCGCAAGCTGCAAAGGTGAAGGGACGTTTCGTCAGCAGCAGCAGGCGCAGAGGCGGGGGGCGATCTCGGGGGCGCAAGGGCGGGCGTTCAGCATCGCGGACTTGCTGCGCCTCCACTCGCGCTCGCTGTCTTCCCGCGCTGCGCCCGATGCACCAATCTCCTCCACTTCACCCGCGCGCGGTGACTCGGACGAGACGGGTTCGTGGAGGCCCGACGCTCACTTGCAAGGTGGTGAGGGGATGAGCGGGTAGGCGCAGCAGCGGCAGGGGTCTCCCCAGCAGCGGCCGCGGCAGCAGGTTGGAGGGGATGGGCAAAGAAGGCGGGCGATAGTGCGGTGTGTATCGGAGCAGGTGGAACGACGCAGTGCTTATAGCGGGGATGGGATGACGGGCCAAGAGGGAAGGGGAGGTGAGGGGGAAGCGCGGAGGGCGAGCGCGCACGGGTGGGCGTCCGCCGACCTGGCGCTCAGACTGCGGCGCGCCGTTGCCACCTCTGCTCGCGGCCACTCCGTTGCTGCGCCCGCGGCAAGCGCCGCTACTGTTGCTGCCGCCACTTGCGCCAACTCTGCTGCTGCGGGCGGCAATGCTGCTGTAAGGCATGGCGCTTTTGCTGGTAATAGGGTTACTAGTTCAGGTGAGGACGCAGAAACTAGACACGAGGATGAGGGAGAGGGGGAAAAACAGGAGTTCTTAGAAAGGGGGAGTGGTTGGAGCGTTGATGGGGAGGTGGAAGGACAGGCGGAGGAGAGCACAGAGAGGAGGGAGGAAGGTGGGTGGGAGGTGGCTCACGGGCATGGGGAGAGGCATGGGGAGTGGCACGGAGAGATGTAGGGGGAAATGCACGGGGAGAGGCACGCGGAGAGGCAGGGGGAGAGGCACAGGGAGAGGCAGGGGGAGTGGCAGGGGGAGAGGTACGGGGAGAAGCAGGGGTGCAGCGGCAGCAGCAGCAATAGCGGCAGCATGCCACAATGCCCGGGCGCGTTCCTGGGCAGCAGCAGCTCGTTCAACGCGCGCCCCCGCTTCCCCGTCAATGCCTCCACCTCCGCCGCTGCCGCCGCCCTCGCCGCCGGGGGCAGCTGTCGGTGCAGCAGCAGCCCCGTGGCGCTCTCGGGCCTGTACAACAGCAGCCGGAACTCGCGGCCTACTGGGCACGGGACGGGCGCGCATACTGGTGCCACTAGCACCAGCGGCGGGGGGGGTGCTAGCGGGCGTGTGAGAAGCAAGGGGGGCAGCAGCATGGGGTGGGGCAGCAGGAGCGGGCGCGAGGTGTGGAAGGATGCGCGGGACATGCATGGCACGCAGTCCAGCCTGTTTCAGTGGGGAGGCAGCGGCAGGCTGCTGGGACTCACTCTCAGCCTGCTGAGAGCTAGGGCCGGCGCAGATGGGAAGAGTGGGCGACAAGGTGATGGAAGGGGGGCGAGCGGTTTTCTTTCCCCAGTTGTTGTGCCGCGCTCGCCTTCCAGTGTGGGCCTGCTGCCCTTCCCCACCGCCGCTGCTCCTCCTTCTCTTCACTCGCCCGTGCTCGTGCCTAGGGCTGCTTTGCCTGGTTCGCCACTGCCATACTAGAGAGGGAGGCTCGGGAGAGAGGCGTGGCAGCAACAGCAGCAGCAGCACCAGCAGCAGCAGCAGTTGGGGCAGCAGCATAGCGAGCAGAGTGAGGTGCATCACGAGCATCATCATCAGCAGCTATCAAAATGTTATGTAGCTTACTTTGTGTAGGCTATAGTGGGGTAGCTCATAAGGGGTACAACCCAATTAGGGTTAGTACTTGTACCCAACTCTTTCATAGTTCATTCATTCTCATTCAGTATTCTGACAGCAGCATGTCACAACAAGCCTCCACCAGCGGACACATGTGTTATGTGTTGGTTTCAGTGTCAGCACTGTCAAAAGCACAAGCACACACGCCACCGTCACACAACAAAGCTGCAGCAGAGCCACTTCAGAAGCAGCAGCGGAAAATCAAGTCCACCGGTCCCCTGCATCAGCGCGCCCAGGTGAGCCCCCAGCAGCCATGGCACCGCTGGTTGCCAAACCTGGAGGCGAGGCTTGGGCAGCCGCAGCTAAGGGAGCTCCTGACGGAAGCCAAGGGTTGGAAGAGCAGGCTCGGCAGCAGCGGCTGTGGAGGCAGTCAGAGCGGGCAGTGGAGCGGAGGAGGAAAGCATGGGCGAGTGATTTCGATTCCAAAAACCCTATGCCAACTTTGGATGAATTTTGATTTCGATTGACTTCGCGTAAAGAAATCCTGAGCCAATTTGGACCGACGATTGGAGTCATTTGATAGGAGCTCCGAAACACGTCGCGCAATATGATATGGTTGGAGTCATTTGATAGGAGCTCCGAAACACATCGCGCGATATGAGCCAATTTGGTGCAAATTCGGGATCAAAATATTCAAAACTACATTCTGGTTTTCTTGATTTTTTATAATGAGCATTTCAAAATTACATTTATATTTCCGGTTTACAACAACCATTATTCAGCATTCTAACAACAAGCACTTTTAGCACCAGGTCAAATAGCCTACGCACTGCCGGGCCTTGCAAGCGCTTGGTGGGCAAGGACGACCTCTCCAAGCTCGCCATCGTCGATGAGGAACTTGTTCGTGAAGACGAACGCACAAATAGCCGGATCGTGGGGGATCCTCCGCTCCAAGAGAGCAAAGTGGATCATCTGTTTGACCTTTTCGCACCACTCCAAGTAGTCTGGCTTGTCTTGTTCCGGCTGGCTACTAATTCGCTTGCGACTCTTATCCTGCAGAAGGGGCCATTCGATCTTCAATGTGGTCTAGGGTTGGGTGGATAGTTTATGAGGAGGGAGGGTTACGGGTAAATGAGCTATATGAAAGCGGTGATTCAGTCGTCACTATCTACGTAACTGCAAAGGCTTAATCAACCAGAGATTTAGCTGAAGTACATGCAAGGGGTTAAGGATGTTGGGTGCAAATTTACATTGCACGACATCCTGCCGTCTGTTTGTACGAGTATGAGTGTGCGAATGCACTTGCGTGTGAATGGTGTGTTTGTGTGTTTGTTTGCTTTCGCAATTTTCGTTTGATGCATTTGCAGGTACTCGTGCAATGTACGCTTTGACACAACATTGTACGTGCTATGAACAGTGCAAGTAGAAAGGACGAGCTCGCAAAGGAACCCAAGATGGAAGCTTTGCAGTTCGCTTGTATTGAATGCGCGGATTCATGTCAGAGGTCCACTGGTGATCTCCGATTGATCCTAGGAAAGGGTTACAGGCTCGTTGTCATGGGGGGTTATGGGCGCACTGACCCGTTACTTAACAAGCTCTTTTATCGCAGTGGTCTAGCGGTTGGGATTCTGACATGGTATCAGAGCAAAGGTCTCGTGTTCGAATCCCAGTGTGTGCACTTCGGGCATCCCAGTGCGGGCGGGTGTCAGAGGTCCACTGGTGATCCCCGATTGATCCTAGGACAGGGTTACAAGCTCGTTGTCCTGGAGGGTTATGGGCGCACTAATCCGCTACTTAACAAGCCCTTTTATCCCAATGGTCTAGTAGTTGGGATTCTAACAATCCAATTATATCCAACTCGAAATTTTACTGTTTTGTTTGGTTAACTATAGTGTACCAGGGCAGGCACTATAGGGGTACAATTTAGGTGAAGGTTGGATGTTTTTTGTTTGTATATGCATGCTACAGGGCCAGGGGAAACCAGCGAAACCAGCATTTGGCTGGTTGGGCAAAGATAAAAACAGGTTCTGTTTTTTAGGACTTGAACCTAGTTGTTGTTTTCCCAGGTTGGAAAAACATAACCAGAGGTTGTTTACCAACCTACCGCCTGCTGTTTTTTCCAGCCAGGTTGGTTATTTTGCTTGGATTTATTTGGGATCATCCATGGTTGTTCCCAGGTTGATTCCCAAGGTCCTTGTTAGCTATAACTATTTATTCCTTCTCTATTTGTACCTGTATATAGTCAATTTGATTCGAGCGAATTCCTTCCTTGTTGGAATTTCGTTTCCACGCGGTGCAACAGCGGAATGCTACTGAGTCGACGCTAGTACGCTAGGACTACGACGCTAGGCCAACGCTGTCCGTGCCATAACTCCGTAATGGCAGAAGTTTTCGTGAGGCAACTTGGCTTAATTTAAAGCTATTAGAACGAGCATCGATGTAGCAAATTCTCAGCTTAATCCGATCGACGGTATGCATGGCACGCGGCGCGTCGCACAAGGTACTCTCGTTATTCTGGCTAAGTCATTCTTGGTCCCTCTCTCTACAAACTCGGACCCAAGGATAGGGGCTTGTCTTGTACCAGACACCCAAGGACCCTTGGAGGTGACCCCGAGGAGAGGTATTAAGTTTGATTAGGTCTTAATAACTTGAGTTTATTAGGCCCTTACACCAACAAAGGGGATGAGGCATGGGGCTACAAACAAAAATCTACATCCTGACCGAAAACAGGCCCCATGCCACCATGCGGCTCTTGAACTTGGTGAACACGACCCCGCCCCTCTTGAAGGAGAGCTCGAACGCATAAGCGAACAAGGGGTTGCTGAAGGGCATCCCGGTGGCCTTGTCAAAGTGTCAATTGAGGGCCCACTGTTCTGCATTTTGGCAGGGAGGGTATGGGTTGGAAAGGGGGTGCAGAGAAATCAAGTGGGGGGATGAGAGTCAGGGTGAGCCACATCGCACGGTGATATGTAGCTGCCAACTGGCATATGGTGGGGCATATGGTGTTTTTGAGTTGCACATACCATCTCTGTACTCGGCTAGGAGTTGCTCATCGTCGAACTGTTGATTGTGTAGGTGGTTGTGGTATTTTGCTCTAGCTGGTTGTGGGCTAAGGGTTTGGGCAAAATATGATTGCTAGACTTGTTACGGGCTGGATTTGATCTCGCACCAAGCAAGCACCAACAAACCTTTGCTACCCACTACAACACCTTTGGTGTTGCTAGTTTGGCATTTTGGGTTGTTGGGGATTGTTGTATGGCGAGGGTTGGGATGGTAGGGTTTGTCAAACTCGTATTTTTTTCAGATCTGAACTCTAGCTTAAGCCATTCCTATATGTAATCCATGGCTGCTAAGTAATTCGGCTAGGACACCCCGTCGCACTTAAATCGTGATAGCGATCGGCCTAGATCTTGGTTTAAGGCGGGCGTTACCATTCAGGAAAGTAGATATTAAGACGTTTCCAACGCGTACCCGCTCATAGCTTAAAGTTACATGAGCTGTATGCAATTTTCCGTCGAAGTCGGCGGACTTAATCTCTTGTACGCTCTCCAGATTCGCACGCTATCCATCACGAACCACCTTGTTGGGTGTAGCTCAGTGGGCAGGCTATCCACGAGATGGCTGGAATCGGCAAGGCCCATGCCAGTGTATGCTGCTGGCCTGAGGGTGGAGTTGTTTGTTGACCTTGTTGACATCATCTGGTGGTTGAAGACTCCCATGGTTGACTTGTCATTGTGCAACCACAGCAGCTTCCTTGACTCGAGCCCTTCTGCAGACAAGTGGACAGAGAATGCTTCGAACACTTCCTCCAATGCAGGGTAGTACTGTATTTTTTCCGGCGGGTTCAGAAACAAGAGCTGAGAGGTCGCTAAGTAGGCTTTGCTCTGCGTAGGGGTGTAGGGTATACAACACGACATGGGAGAGAGAAACCAGCAGTTATGATTGTGGCCGCGTGACCACAGGATGGTGATTAGCAACACTGTGTGAACTTGCCACGTCACACCCTCTTGCATCCGCCACATCCACCAACAACCCGCCCCACTTGCCACGTCACACCCCCCTACCACAAGCCATGTCACCCCCCACCCACCTGACACGCCTCGCCCCGTCATGCGCCGCTCCCGTGTACCCTTTCAAATCGCCACGTCATCCCCAACCCTCACCTTCCGCCACGTCACACCCTCCTGCATCCGCCATGTGTACCAACAACCCGCCCCACTTGCCACGTCACACCCCCCCACCACGAGCCACATCACCCCCCATCCACCTGAAACGCCTCGCCCCATCATGCGCCGCTCCCGTGTACCCTTTCAAACCGCCACGTCATCCCCAACCCTCACTTTCCGCCATCTCACACCCTCCTGCATCCGCCACGTCCACCAACAACCCACCCCACTTGCAACGTCACCCCCCCTTACCACAAGCCACGTCACCCCCCATCCACCTGAAACGCCTCGCCCCGTCATGCGCCGCTCCCGTGTACCCTTTCAAACCGCCACGTCAACCCCAATCCTCACCTTCCGCCACGTCACACCCTCCTGCATCCACCACATCCACCAACAACCCGCCCAACTTGCCACGTCACACCCCCCCACCACGAGCCACATCACCCTCCATCCACCTGAAACGCCTCGCCCCATCATGCACCGCTCCCGTGTACCCTTTGAAACCGCCACGTCATCCCCAACCCTCACCTTCCGCCACGTCACACCCTCCTACATCCGCCACATCCACCAACAACCCGCCCCACTTGCCAGGTCACACCCCCCCACCACGAGCCACGTCACCCCCCACCCAACTAACACGCCTCGCCCTGTCATGCGCCGCTCCCCTGCACCCTTTCAAACCACCACGTCATCCCCAACCCTCACCTTCCACCACGTCACACCCTCCTGCATCCGCCACATCCACCAACATGTCAGAACTAGCAGTAGAAAGTAAGAATGAAGAAAGGAGGGTGTTCACTAGCAAGCAGTTGGATACATATAGCAAACCCTAATTGGGTTGTACTCACTATAGAGTACCCCACTGCAGGCTAGACAATTATAACATTCTGACACACCCCCATAGCCAAAGTGGGGTGTAATCAGCACAACAAGCAAGTATAGTAATAGTTCACAATTATAAGCAAAGCTAGTGGTAGTCACAGCGGGCAAGTGAGGAGGAGGAGGGACTGTGAGAGGAGAGAAGATGAGAGACGGCGGCTGAAGCTGTAGACACACGGGCAACAGGAGCTGCTGACACAGTGGCTACCGGGACAGTGCGCCCCGGACTACTGGAGTAACTGGCTCACGGGCTACGAGGAGCTACAGGAG